TTCTGGAAGTTTACTCTAATTTTATTACATTGAAACCTGGGTATGTTGGGCTGTTTTTTCCTTTGAATTAATTGTTTTAGAAATAAATCTATGTGAACCATGGTTTCTGAAATTATTTAACCAACCATGTTTGGTAGGTCTTTAAATCCCTGACTGTCTCTTTGTCTATACCTGGCCGTTAAGGCTCTTTTGTTCTAGTAATGCTTGAAATAGTTGTCATGTGAACTTCTTTTCATGTTAATGGAAGTCCTGCACATGGATATTTACCTCCACCCACAAGTCAAGGGAAAGAACGGTTCCCTTGCTAAATAGAAAATACCAGACCTTGTTTGGGAGGGATCCCTAGGTGGATGGGTGGTGGCAGAAATATTTGGAAGTAAAATTATTTAAGTGACTATGACAGGATTTTTTGAGGTGATTTGGGCATTTCAGTGAGACAGAATTACACTGTGAATATCATAAACAAAAGATGGGAACCCATGCAAACATTAAGATCCTTGAAGGTGCTCAACAGAGAAAACCGGAGATGAGGTCTGAAAAACACAGAAGAGAACTCTTGGTACCTCGTATGGGTTTGTCAGTTAAGATTTTCATAGATAGAAAGGATCACATTTCCCTTGCAGTATGTGTTGGCATCTTTGGAATCATGAAAGTCTTTCTTAACAGCCAAGTATTTTTTCTACTAGACCAAAGAAGCATTTTTTTGGAAAGTACCAAGAGCTGTATTCCTTGAAAAAGGCTTAAATAATTGTATAATAAGTTGAAGAAAAACGGCCAATATCTTCCACATGAATTGGTTGACTCTTGGATGATAAATCACCCTATTTCTGACACTCGCATATTGCCTTCCTTTTTTTGTACATGGAATTTTCATTTCGTATTCATGTACAGGCAATAAGATTATGATGCTCCTGTTACTATTTTGATAAAACTTTTATGCTTCTTTGATTGGATGAAATGTTCAGCAGTATCAGTACAGTACAAATCTTTTGGTTAGGACGCCTTATATTTTTGGGAGACTGAAGTTTTAGAAGTTTCTGTTGAGAAATAAATTGCCAGAGGTCTTTGCGAACAGGCTGGAAAAGCAGGAACGGCTATCTTGATTCTTGCTTGGGTGGGCAGATAGGTGAGGTTAACCCCTCAGGGTGCTTCCTACCCCTGCAATTCTCTCAAGAAATGGAAGATAATGCATGTTCCTAACTTATTTAACTGAAATCAGCAGTAGCCAGCTCAGCCAGTGCTGTGGATCTGCATGTTGATCCAAATGCAGATGAGTCAATAGCCAGAAAGCAAGTAGGACATTATTGGTAGTGTTAAAATCTGACTTGTTCTGAATACAGCTGAAGAACTAATGCTATAAATACTTAATGTCTTAATTCAGCTTTGCTCTGTAGCAATCATCTCTCCTTCCTCTGAAACACAGCAGAAGTTAAGTTTAATAATTAAAATTTTAGAATTTATTGTAAGTTCTGCTTTTCATTGAAAATAATAACTACAGCTTTGTCAGTGTCATCCTTCATTAAATTATTTTCAAATAGTTTTTTTGGTAGCAAAAAGTACCATGGCAGTTAGAAAACTGAAGTCAGATTTAGATCTTGGTAAATTGCCCTTGATTTATACCATTGTAATGGGCATCAGAAACCAGCTCATATACAACAGAACAGTAGTAGCCACTTTATTGATGTAACTGTTGTATAAGCAGAGGTAAGGCTCCAGTACACTGGATAAATGCCAATTTACTAAAGCAAAATATGTTTATTTCAAAATAAAGTATGAATTTTCATAGTAAACAAACAAGCAAAACACCGCCTACTTCTCCGTCTGAGAGTAACAAAGAGGGTGAGGAGATCATGAAAATACAGAGGTATTGTAGCAAACTAGTTAGTAATTCTGTTTTCTTTCTTATGTTTTCACAGTTCTCCATCAGCAAGTGCAAGTGCAGTCAACCTCCACAGGAATCTAATGGAAAAGGAGTAGGGGGTCAAAGAGTTGCTTTCATCTAGAGTTTGTATTCACCTGAGAATAAAAGGAGGTTGCATTGTTGCTATAGGTTGCACTTTGAGGAAGTTGTGCAGAACTTGCTAGTAAAACTGATTTTCGATATGAAAACAAAAGTTATACTTGATTTACCAAACATGCATGCTTAGCAGGAAGCTGATGTTTACAATTCTCCATTTTTATTCCATGTACTTCCAAGCAGGAATTTACATAGGAGTGAATGTCCAGACATTTGGACATTCCTTTGACTTTTTAGAACAGTGTTTTATGATAGTTGGTTTGTTTGCTGACAAAGAGTATTTGGGAGTGTCTTCTATGGGTCTGTCTTTTAACACAAGGTTTGTGTACTTTAAATCCCAGGTTTGTGTACTCTGTGAGCCTGGTTTGAAAACTAGTGGAAGCCTTTCTATTAATTTGAGCAGACTTTATCTCAGACTACTGTGTAGCCACTTAAGAGCGAGGATTTGTCTCAAATGTTCTGTGTGCTGTTTCCAGTTCTTCTCAGCGATGCATGACAGCCACTTGCCATGCCAGATATGGCTGCGTTTAGTTGTGCTGCATCTATGGAGTTTACAAATGTTCTTTGATGTCCACTTGGAGAAAGGTGATGATCAGCACCTCTGCATCTATAGTCTTAGAGAAAATAAACCTCCTAAATCTTAGAATTGCTCAGTTTCCATCTAGGCAAATGGAGAGCACTGCTGCATTTGAGGTCCACATCATCAGAGATATTTTCTAGGATTACAAAAATTTATAAATAAAAAACCCCTAAAAATCAGTAATACTTGGATTCATGGACAAAAATCTCAATATTATATTGATATATATTTTTGACAAAAACATGAATCAGATTTTTTTGACTGTGCTAAATACCACAGGTATTACACTTTGGAGTTTTCCTCCCAAGAGGAATAATTACTCAAGACACTAGAAATTCATGTGTTCTGATCTCCTGGTCTGGTTGCCAGATACTATTCAAGTAGATGCAAGGGTTGGTGCCAACTCTGTACATAAGCTCAATGCAATTGCATGCATGCTTCAAAGAGCAGATTTTTGGCAAACAGATATGAACTGATTTTTATTCTAGGACCTTGAGCCTGAGAATTGCTCAGCAAGCAGTTTTTCTATATGGTTTTCAAGGACTTGGCTAAAATAAAACTATTGTACTAAGACGTCTTTCTCAAAGAATTTTTACACTGAAATGTCAAAAAAAGCTGTTGGAGTCTAAATATTTAAGCAATCCTAATCTATCCATATATTTTAGGGATTTTTTCTCTTTTCTTTTGTATCATCCTTGAGTACCTTTTTTTGCCACAACTTACGATTAAAAGCTGTAGAAGTTAATAGAAATTACGCGTTACTCGGAAACAGAGAAATGGGCCTTGCTGACTGTGGCCTCATAAGCTTGTGAGCTTTATCCCCAATTCCTTTGCTGGAGACCATCACCTCCCGAGTGGTTAAAAGTCTGCAGTAACCATCTTTAATGCAATGAACAGATGTGTGTAATAACCACCTAATGTTTTGCTAGGTTTTGCAATGGAACAGGTATGGTTACTGCTCCTGCTGATGATTAAAGTGCTTTCAGTGACTGCTCAGTTCAATGGATACAACTGTGATGCTAACCTCCATAGCAGGTTTCCTGGTAAGTGTTTAATAGACTTTTTTCTAATGGCTTCTTTATTGTCTTGGTTCGAAGCAGTGCTTATTTTTAAATACAGAGCTTTAAATCTGTTTGAAGCCTGGGGGTAGGACTCCACATTAAGTGAGTGTTTACTATCTTGGTGACAATGAGACTCCTCTAACGTTGTACTTTGCTTTCCTCTTAATATCACAGTGGGTCGAATTCAGCCTAGTAGTAATGAATACAACTCCCCTCACATCAGTAAGGTTTGACCTGCTTTTGCCAGAGCTCTATCCTGTCCAAGATAGTCACCAGAGGTCTTGTTGTAAATATTCTCTATAGATTTAAGAGTCTGAAACTTCTATCTGGGTTTTCTTTCATGTTTTGTCTGGGTAAAAGAATACAGTTATGTTCTTTTAGTGAAATAAAGAAATAAATACCTATCTTTGAGCAAAATTAAGTTGATGGCGGAATTTAGTGCCTCACTTCAACATTAAATGCTTGCTTAGGGACACATGAAGCAACGGGATGCCTCTATAAGAAAATGGGAATTAAGTCATTTCAGGGATACCAGATGTCTGGAGCTATTAATAAAATAAGAAGTAGAAATGGAATTTCAGTCTTAGTGACATGTGTATCATGGTTTACTTAGCTAAAGAATGCTTTTAGTTTCTGTTACATTGCTTATCTTTCCTGCCTCAGTTGTTTCTTGGACAGAATAATAATAATAATAAAAAGGTCTATGGCTACTGGCTTGCTGACATCTTGTGTTTCTGAGGTAGCAATTGAATTGAACAGTATAGTGATGAACTCTCAGTATAGTATTACACTGTAATACCTTTCGGTGCTGTTGCTCTCTGAATAATAACAGTTTTGATTTTTTTCAGGAAGGATCAGCTCTCTTATTAAACTTAAGTCAGCAGAAAGCCTACAGTCTGTTTCTTGTTTCCTGTGCTACCATCACACTGCTAGGTGCTTTGTTGACATAAAGACCAACAGTTCGTTTGATCCTTTTTCACTTAATTGATGTGAATATGAAGGGCAGAGAAATAAGACGTGCAAAGAAGATCGAATGTGTTGTCTCCATCCCTGACAAAATTGCTGTTTAGCTGAGTATTTCACAAACTACTTCTATATTCCCCTTCTTAGGTAAAACTTTTACAGCCTTGCCTCAAAAGTGTGGGTGAATTGTGCCCACCTGTCTCAGATCAACCTTTCATAGTTTTTCACATTTCAGGCTTCTTGGGAGGATTGCAACAGCTAGAGGGAAACTTAGATTCCTCTTTCTGTGCTTCAAAAATTTTTCTCTGGTCATTTTTTGCACCAGCCCTGTGCCAACATTTTATATTTGCAATGTGATACTCATAAATTGAATCCATCTCTTACTGTAGGTATTTAGGGCCCTCTTGCATTTCTGCCTCATAAAAAAGGGTCATATCAGAGTCCATGTCTGCCAAATCTCAGGGACTTGGGAGAAAACCTGTCTAGGCTACAAGTAAACAGATTTTATTTTATTTTTTTAAAATAAATGCTAATTACCCCACACTGCCTGTAGGAGCTGAGACTAGAGTCCTACTCGCTCTTGTTTGTGATCTCAGGCAGTAAAGATTCAAATGTTGGAATTTATTCAATAGTCTCCGTGCTGATTTTGAGAGCTAGGAAAGAAAAATAATTCTGCTTGTTAGTTGTGCGTTTGAGATGGAGGCAAAAAGCAGAAAACCCTTTTGTCCCCAAACTTGATAGGTATTATTTTCGGTATACAGAAGGCACTGCTACGTAATGGGCTGGGGCTAGCAGAGCTGAGTGAGGCTGCTGTTTTCTGAGTTCAAGAACACCAGAAGATGGGTGAGAGACCCTCTGCAGGGAGAAGGGGCTCACTCTTGCTACACTTGCTTCCCCAGCGCTTGACTCAGGCTGTGGCTTTGAGGGTGCTGGCCTCACTGACTTCAGAGTTCAAATGTATGGGGATTGGTGAGAGAGAGATCAAAAAGGAGAATGTTTCAAAACAAGTATCTCTCCAGACTGAGATACTGCTCACAGAGCCTGATTATGGATAGACTTTCTTCCCATTCCTTATTTGTTTCACACAAGAAGTCTTCGTTGTTGTCAGTTGAAATTCCAAACATGAGGCGAGAATGGACTTTCTTGCTGAGAACTGTGGTGTGCAGATACCAGAGAAACCATTGGGTTTTGAAGTTGTCTGCTCTTTTTCTTTAAATATAGTGAAGAACAGAAGTTGTCTTCAGCAAAGATGAGAAATTAAGCCTTCCTAAAGGAACCTTGGAGCTCATCCATTTTTCATTTGTTTGTGTTTTTATCATTCATTGCTTAGGTGACTTCTTGCATAGGGATAGTGCTACATAAATAGGATGATGGATAATCACACAGGACTTTTGTTTTTGCAGTTTGCAGGTTTCTTTTAAAGTGTAGCGTCAGCAGGGATGAAGAAAAAACCCGTATTTGGCAGCCTGAAAATTCTGTGACTTTTTATACCAAAGGCTTGATGTGTTCTTTAAGCTATGTAATAAGGTTAGATCCTGCCATCTTTCAGAGAGTTACCTGGAGAAAAAAGCTTTGGTTCTGCATTGCAGTAAAGTATAGTTTTTAAAAGGTTTGTTGGGGATGGACCCTTAGCAGTCTGTCTGTCTTCAGATGGGAAAAGCACAGTTTTGATTCAGGGGGCTCGTACTGAGAACTTGGTAGAAGCTAAGAACATATTGCAGGTTTTTCACGTACACTATGCATTTTAATTCACTATCAAAGCAGCGATTTGATCAGAGAGGAGGTTCATGCAGAGAAGCTATGTTATGATCTATAAGTGTCTTTGCACTCCTGGTGGAATGACTTGTCAACAGTGTTCTGTGGCAAACTCTTGTCCGCTGCAGATGTTTTGCTGCCTGCTCTGGGGTGAAACTTGGCAATGTGTGGAAGGGTACCACAGTAGAAGTGGGCAGTGGAGCTGTCAGCGTTTGGCTCACATTGCCATGAGCCTGTCCTTGATTCAAAATGGTCTCAGTTACTGCAATATCCATGTACCTCTTGAGCTTTACTGTTTTGCACATGACACCCCTGTGAGTACTGCCAGCTATAGGTAGCTTGTGGGATTTGAGTCAGAAAGAAGCCAAGTGGTTCGCCTGTATGGAAACTCTGTGACGAAGAGGTAATTACACTTAAGCCCCCATCAGCTGGGTGACTTAACCTTCAAACTGTTACTCCTCTTTCACACAGAAAACCAGAAGCTTTTACTGTAGGAATGCAAATTTTTTTTGTTTAAAATTATACATATATGGGAATAATATTTACTTTTCTAAATTCACAAGAAATAAGCTAGATGTTTAGCATCTAAAGGGGCATTGGATCTGTTTGCAGCCGGTTTCAGATCAATTTCTGAACAAATAACGTTGTTTTAATTCCAGAATGGACTAATTTGGCAACGATACTTTCTCGTAAAGTAGTGGGCAGAAAAGGTTCAGTCTGGAAAGGTTGTTTATCCTCCTGTATCGCACAAAGGTTGTTTTTGTATTGTATGATCTCATTTCGCTTGGTGTCGAATGAGGATTTTACAAGCAGTAATGGTACCTTAACAGGGAAAGTAATATCCTGGTTTTTAAAAGGCTTGAAGTGAGTTATAAAATTAACGGAGCTACTTTATATTAAGTCCTGCAATTTGTACAATCTGACTGTTTGTGCATTGGTCCAAGTAAGGGCACTTTGCCCGTCTACCTTAGTATACCCATTAAATGGATCATAACAGTCCTCATGTGAAAACCAAGGCATGCTGCTTCTTGATCTTTGTACCTTACATTAGCGGAATTATGTGCATGTGCAAACCAGGAGAATTTTATGCCAAATCACTTCAACTCCTGTTTTGCCTCCAGTACCTTTCTGCACAAATTTACACCCAGTGAGTAACATTTATCACCACATTAGCTCAGGACTAGGTTTAGCCTGTTATTTCCTGCACTTGATTGTTTTGGCTTTAAAGCCACCGTTAAAGCTGTCTAAATTAAACTGCCTGAGCTCCTGTACTATGGGGGAAGAGCTAGTTCATTGTAATGGAGATTTCATTTCCTCTCTGTTGTGACAATGCAGTGAAACAATTCATTTCAGCAGGCTTAATGGTATAGTATTGACTGAAGTTGTTCTGCGATTTTTAATAGCACTTAATCTTTAAGCAGATGTAATAAATGAGTTATATAAAGGAGTAATGTCTGTGTTTAACACGGCGCAGTATGTCTTTTTGTAAAGCTGTAGGGGAAAAAAAACAGAACAGCACCCCCAGTCATCTACAGGCGGAGAAGAGCTTATAGAAAAGCTATGTTACAGCTGTAAAGCAAAACGAACTGTTGCTTGTGCCTATATCTTAACCTGATTCTTTTCCATTCAAGTACATAAAAATCTTCAGAACTTTCAAATAAAAGGTCAAATTCATCCAAAAAGGTCTTTGCTGTTCAAAAATTGATCAGTTGTAACGGTTGCTGTTTTCTAGGTCTTTTGTATTGTCATAATCTGCAGAATGAAAGATTGCAATGCACTTTGTAGTATCGATCATTGTCTTTCAAGAGCCAACAGATTTTTCATTAAAGCTAAAGTTGATGGTTCTTAACAAAAAAACCCACTTTAAAGATATCATAATAAATTGCTCTGATAAGCTGTTGATTGTACTTCAAAGTCTGCACAGCCTGAGACTGCGGTCTCATACAAAGTGGACTCCACACAACCTCAGACAAACACACCTGACTTTCATGCCAGAGTGGGCTGGAAGGCAGAGCTCGGCCTCCTGAGTTTCTCAAAATTGCTGAAAATTTCTGTTCCAGAAGGGGGCTGTTTAATCAGCTTCCAAATATTTAACCACTTGCTGTTTTCCACTCCATTGCAGTGCTTCAGTTTGTGAATGTGCTACTAAATGATTTGCTGGGGAATTTTACAATAATGGTTTTGTTGGGTGATAGACTACATTGCTATATTAATTCCTGCTTTTTCTTTATTCAAGTTGCAGAGGCAAATTTGTTCTTCAGAATAATGCAATTCTGGCCTTTATATTCCAATATTTTGCTGTGACTGGGGTCTAAAAATTGGTTCAATGAGAAGTTACAACACTAGACTAACTGCTACAATAACTATACGGTGATTAGTTGAAATACATCTTCTTACAATGTCTTTCCCTGTATTTTTCTTGCAGCTGAACGAGATATCAATGTTTTCTGTGGAGTACAGACAATTACTATGAAGATAAATTTTTGCACAGTTCTTTTCTCTGGTTATTCTGAGACAGATCTGGCACTGAATGGGAAACATGGGGATGCCCACTGCAGGGGTTTCATCAATAACAACACCTTTCCAGCAGTGGTCATTTTCATCATCAATCTGAGTACTTTGGAATCCTGTGGAAACACTTTAGTGGTAAGAAAAAGTCAAAGTGAAATTGTAGCACGGCTGTTTATGCATAAGATTAAGTGAATGGCCTTGACAGCATTGTACCTTTTACAGATAATGTTTACTTTGTCTTTCCCAGTTAGCAGTATATTGCATACATCAAAGAAAACCAGAGAAAGTCGGTAATGTATAATCTTGATTACTAATGAGAAAATGTGGTGTGACACACATTTGTCCTCTGATTAGAAGGTATATTTTTAATTCTTTTTTTTTTTTTTCCAGTGAAAAAATGAGATTTTTCCAGGCCATATTTTAAAACTCTCGCTGGGTGGGTTAGATAGAGGAGCGTTATAGTCTGGGTACCTCCTTCTGTGCTGTCGTATGAGAGTAGTTTGCTGGCTGATCTCATATTTTCTGTGATAAGGCAGTGACTTCAGAGTCTGGCCAGAGGGCCCAACCCACAGTAAACACCTCTGCTAGTTGTGCCACAAGGTGCTGCACCTTGTTGGAAGATCTCAGCTCAGTATGGAAGTGCCTGGCAACAAATGGAAGTTTTCGAGCAAATTTTGAATGTTTGAAACAGAAACAAACAAACAAAAAACCCACCAAAGAATCCACAACAATAAAAAAAGTCTGTCTAACCTATGTACTTAATTTGTGAAAAAGAAGTCAAGATTCGGGCCTGAAGTTCAGATTTGTGTGTTCAGCTCTCATCTCTTAGTGCATGGCCACTCTGTGCTACGGTGTTTTGCTATGTTGCCTGGTGGTGTAACTTCAGTGTCTGTTTTATGTTGCTGTTTCATGCATGCATAATGCACACCTTTGTACAGCTAATGACTAAATCTAATCCTTAACTGTGTGTGCGTCTTTGGAACCAGAATCTGATCCAGGGGCTAACTTTGAAGTCTGTGTTGTACCACTATAATTCAATTTTCTTCAGTGCCTTTATCTCACTTTGAATGGGGAGAGAGGGGGGGAAGTCAGGTCTCGAACCACCTAAACCAAGGGAGAGGAGAGTTTTTGTGTATATCACACTGTACAAGCAGTGATGACTTGTATCAAAGTCTCTATGAATAACTTACAAAAACAAGTGTAAAAATGCATTATTTTTAAGGCTTATATTCTGTCTGGAATTCATACTTGAACTTGATGATACTTGTCACTTTTTATAATAAACATCCTGTTCTGTTGTTAGTAATTTTGTGAAACTGTACTGAAATGTTTGATATAGTCTGTGACCTATTTGCCTCAGGCTGAGTTTTCCTTTAAAATGTCAACAAAAATAATTCAGCAAGTTTGAGAGTCTCTTCTCCCATTTTCCCTGAAAAGCTGTAGCACCTCCATGACTTGCAGTAGAAGAATTTGCCAGGAAGCCACTTCTTCCTGTTCCCATGTAGCTGATCACATTATAAACTCCCTGAACTTGCTATTTGATTATAATAGTAAGAGCTTGATTGTTGGGTTTTTTTTTTGTGTGTTTGGTTGTATTGTTTAATTTCATGTTTTTTTGTTTTTTTGTTTTTTTTTTAAACCAAAACCAAATCAGTCTGGTAAGTCCAAATAATTGGAGCTCCCCATGAAGCCCCCCACAAGGCTGCACAAGATACTAAGATAAAGTAGCAGCTGCTAAAAATATAACCAAAATTTCCCCTCATCCTCTCAGTTTGTATGTGCTGTGCCACAAAGAGGATAAAGGAGCAGGGAGCATTTCTTATTGTGTTCCCCACACTGGAGTACTACAATCCTGTGCATTTATTGGCTGTGTTTCGCCGCAAAGACCTTCAAACTAATTTTCAATAAAAGTAAAGGCAAGACAACAGCTCAGGCAGAACTAAGGTAAAACCCAGGTCTGTCTGTAATATGGCAGAGGCAACTTTTTATTCTTTGGGGGTGGGGTGATGAGGAAGCTAAACAGAGCTGTAGCTGGCTGTACTACCTTAACTCTCTAGCCTATGCTTTTAGGCAAGGAATAGATCCTAGAAAATTTGATTTTCATCATTTTCCTTCTATTTAGCAAGTGATTAGGTATACTATTGGCAAAGTGCATGCCTGCATCTGTCTTTTAGCTGTTTTTTCCGTAGCTGAAGAAATCAAAATACCTCTCTGTATCCTGTGGTACTTAGTGCAAAATGTTACAACTCATGCACACCTCAAGATGATTTTTCCATAATGAAATGTCTTTTTAAGAAACTGTGTATTCTAAAGCTATTGAAAACATCTGTTCAGCTAACAGTTATACAAAAGAAATGCTACAGTGGAAGTCCAGTGCCGTGTTAATTTGCCTTATTGTGTATGTGCCTACTGAGACAATGGTATGTGACACTTAACTGCTGTTTTCAAACCACCTCCTTATTCAGATCAGTAGCTACAGAAGAGTGGGGCTGGGCTGCTACTGGGAGGAAAGAGTCCTTCAGTTTTCTGGAGAGCTGCATGTTATTGCTGGCTCTGCACTCTCTGTGAGCCTGAGCAACCCAGGATAGCACATATGCAGGGACTGAATTAAGGTTGCATTCGCATTAAAGTTGTATTACATTTCATCTCTTCCATTTCTGACAGCGTTTCTTTGCACATAGTTTATAATTTAGATTTAGAGATGTATAATGTAAACAAAACCACAGACTCAGAGTTCAGCTATTTGGCTTGAATCTACTTATAGAGTATGTTGGTTTTGATATGTCGAAAACGAGAGTGACAGAGTATTGTTTCTGTGAATGAAATTGCTTCTGTATTGGCTTTATTATTGCATATGGAAGCTCACTTTAAGCTAATATTTTTTGACTGTAATAGAAAAGTTCCTTCAGCTTTTCCCAGTAAGTCACATGAATTCATTTGGAATGCTCAGGTAAAAAGTACCTGCCAAAAAAAGTGCTTCCAGGATTCACCAGTTTTTTGAAATGTTGTTCAAGTCTGTGTTGGGATATCGCTTGTGAACTGTGTATGCATGTTTTTGGGGAGATGAAAAACAGAACACAGGGAACATGTTATTAAACTAAATTAACTTTTGAAGGATTTTCTGAAGATATGTCTGGATAAGTTACGGGCTAAAGCATCAGTGTCCTTAGGTACATTTTTTTCCACAGTTAACTTTCTGATAATAGTAATTTTCTGTCTCCCTCAATAGGTATCCTCAGCTCGAGGTATCAGTGCTTATGGAAATACCTCAGTGGTACAGATAGGTAATGTTTCAGGCTATATTGACACGCCAGACCCACCCACGATTATCAGCTATTTGCCTGGGCTTCTGTACAAATTTAGCTGTAGCTATCCACTGGAGTACTTGGTTAACAATACCCAGCTTGCTTCGTAAGTGTGCTTTTCTTTCTATGTGTTTCATTCCTATGTTTGTGTAAGCCCATAGGTATGCGTATATGTGCATGTACACCTAAATATATGCATGCCATAGCAGCATTGTGAATGTAGAAATTTTTAGCTGTGCAAGAGTAAAAGGAAAGGAAAAAGCACTGAAAGAAGAGATGATGCAAAGGAAAAGATAATTCTGTAGCATCATTGTATGAGACAACATAGTTTCTGAAGAGCTGCCTTTATGAAGAGAGCCTTAGATAATGTAAAACTCCGTTAAAATTCAGGTGTTCTGATGACAAAATGGTAGCATCAAGAAAATGGAAATTCTTTGTGAAATAGTTTTTAAGTGTGTGAATATAGAGTACAAGAGAAAATATTTCCATGAGTAAACCTTGTGCATCATGAAAAGCAGGTTCCTTTTTGTCACTTTGCCTCTCTGCTAATTATTTTTCTGATTCATATTTTCATCAGTATCCATCACTTTCTGCATAGTTAAGGTTCTGTCAGTGTTTCCACTATAAATTCCTATTTCTGAAGTTTATAACCCAAATGCATAAATGAACTCCTTGTAATATGACTCATTGAGGGGTTTTTAATGATAAAAGCCACTGAAGTATGCAAAACCAAAAATAAGATATCTTTGTTCGTGATGGTTTTTGGTTTCTGGTTCTGTTGTAGGTCATCAGCTGCTATTTCTGTAAGAGAGAACAACGGTACATTTATCAGCACTTTGAATTTGTTGCTTTACAACGTGAGTATAAAACACAGTAGTATGACCTGGACTAAATTAATCTCTGCACTATGTGGGTACAAGCTGAATCAGCAGAGCAAAGTATAAACCCCTCTTCTTTATTTGCTATTTCCTTCCCACTCCTCCCATGAACCAGGCCTTTCATCCAGGCATTTTTCAGCTCTGAAGTTCCCTTGTACTTTTTGTTTGCATGTACCTGTTGTCTTGTATTTGTATGGCTGGTCTTTGAGGACACACACACAGTCTTTTTGTCCTGTATTTATACAGTTCCTCAGTTTACAGCTTTGGCTTTCAGGTCGTAGTGTCACATGACTGATCGGTTGTAGTAGTAATGATCATACTCCAGAGTGCATACTTGTGTTTGCATTAATTATGTTTGCCTGTGTGTGTGTGTATATATATGTATAGGTACTTTGTACTGATACAGAGAATATTCTGTGGAATTCTGTAAAAATATTCCAGGCATGTTCCCTTAGCAATAAACTGTAGTACATTTGCTGGGGTATTTTTGTGTTCAAGCCTCATCAGAGTGTTTTGATCATCTGTAATTGAGGGATGTGGGATTTGTTCCAAATCTATAGCCCACTGCACTTGTTGCTTCATTGTGTGGACTTTTGAGATTTTAAGGGTTAATTGTTTTAAATGCTTTCAAATAACACTTCCTCCATATCTTTTAGATAATTTAACTTTGAATATGCATTATTGTAAAAGATTTTATTATGTAAATATGGATGATGACAGTAAAACATGAAAAATGCACGGGCCTCTACTTAACATTAATCCCTGAAATGATATTTTCGTGTTGATTAAAATTTTTATTCATACATTTTAAATACCTGATTTAAATACCAATTTTTCAATCTATCAAGCATCATTTTTGTAAATTATGAATCTGATTTTTTTGCATTATTATTCATGCCATCATGATGCTGAGTTATAATTCATGCAACTGATTTAAAAGTCAATGCTTTATGCTTTGAACATAATGAGCTATAAATATTGTAAAAGGACATTTTCCAACAGCATGCTTAAAAAAAATCATGTTTGTTTGACAGAGCAGAGCTCCAAATAACAACCTATAATCCATTAAAATGAAGATTATACTTCTCACATTTTCAAATAAACCTGTGACCAAAAAGATGGGGCAGGGTGAGGGTAGCCAAATTTCTCAGTTAGCGCAAACATTGACCACCACATTTGTTGCCTTTCAGGGCCCAATTCTGCAAACGGTCAGGTATAAATGCTATTGATGCTCATACTGATGCTCACTTTTTCCTCAAATGCTACATGCCAAAATAGTCTTTCATCCTCCCTACCCCAGTGAGTTTGCAAGTCAGCCATGAACAGTGGTGTCTGATCCTTCTGTTTTCAGTCATATTACTCACTCTAGTGAGTAGCGCTACCATGAATAATACTGCTAAGGCTGGCAGATTCAAGCAATGAATCTACCCTTCTGGTTTGCATCTTAGGGCTGGATGTATACACAGGCAGCTTGTGCATTGCTTCCAGTCTGCCTGGGTGGGAGTGCCTCTTGGGACACCCATGGTCAGTGTGAGCTCTGATTCTGCAGGCTTATTTGGTCCCCACTAGAGACTCCTGGTTTTGGGAGGGGCCTTGAGGCTCCTGTCCACCCTTAGTATTGGTGAGGGGTTGTATACAGATGTGGCTTTTAACTGCGAGCAGCTGTACTTTCAAACTTTAGCTGTAGTGTTATTTCCTAACATTGACTCTTCATTTCCTCAGATCACCTTCATCTTCTCTCACAAGGTGATGTTTACATTTATTTTGTGGCGGTAGCATGTGTTATCATTAGGAAAGACAAGAGGAGCCATTATACTGGACTCAGAGTTTAGTAGCAAAACATTTAATGGGCTTTCACAGAGCCTAAGTGGCTATGTACTTTTAGGCCTTCCTGTAAGTGTCTGCTTAAATGAATGAAAACTACTCTAAGAAAAAAACCCAACAACAATGGAATGTAATAGTGAGGGACTTGTTGTACCTTTTTAATCAGTTGCAAAATGTGACAGAGCTATATATTAATGTAAAATTAATTTTAAAGAAGCCAAACTTACCTGATCTCACTTGAATGGATCTTCAAGGGCTTGCTCTGTGTATGTCGCAGAGCTGGTCTGTGTGTGCATGTGTACCTCTCAAGGCCTCTGATACTGCAGAGATTGAATATTGGGCATGCTGTGAATTTTGGCATTGTTTCCTTTGAAAAAATACTTGATATTTGTGCTTAATCCTTCTTGTTGCTGTCAGCTGCTACTCTTGGTCTGGCCTGCCACACTGAACCTGGTCAAAATTCTGTTTAACAATTTTTTTCTTATATACTGAGTGTTTTGACCACTTACAAGAGGTCTCAACATGCTGAGTTCCTGTGCTTTCTGCATTAGCAACTTATTTGACATAGGTGACGTTACCAGTAGGTCCATTTTGATACGCTGAATTAATGTGTCACTCAGATCTATTTCATGGCTTTGTTGCTAAAGTGACATTAGTGGTTCAGCCTTCGAACAAGAATCCAGTAAAACAGCTGTATCTATGTAGTAGTATATGGGGAATTCCCAACTTGTATGTTATACACAGCTTTTTTGAAATGTTAGAATTGAAATGGAAATGTTTGTGACTCATAGCCTTCAACAAGCCAACTTCCTTAGAAACTACATTTTGCATAACAGAATGTGTCTGTTCTCCCAGACTGCAGACTTAAAATGTATAAAACCTGGAGGCATTGCAATCTCCACTAAATCGAATAACCTTAACAACCTTTCCTGGGAAAGGGTAGACTGTGACAACCCAGCTAAGCTGCTCCTTTAGAAAACCATAGTAGCTGCTGTGTTTGCCTGTAGGCACTGGGACTTACTGATGTGTCAATAAATGATACCTTTTCTTTAATCACTAATCCAACCACTTCATAAAATCATAAATTCCCCCAAATAGTTACATAGGATAATGCCAGTCAAGCGTTGTTGATCTTTACAAACTTACTTGTAGGCAAATGCTTTGGCGCTGCTTTTTTGCTTCTTTCCTAATGGAGGACAAAGTAAATGACTGTCCTACATAGAAAGGTCAGAAAAATTAGATGGGAGTTCAGTGTATGGATGCAGATGGGTTGTTACAGTGGGATTTCTTGTACACTGTGGCAATGTTTGTTTTTCAGGATTCAACCTACAGCCAGCAGCTCCTTATTCCAAGTACAGGTTTACCTTTGAAAACCAAAATATATGCAGCTGTAAGAGCAACCAACCTCGATGGCAGGTACCATAAATGATCTTATTTCTTGTCTTGCTTGCTATTCAGCTCATTGTTGATGTTTGATAATCACTGCCCTCAGCTGGAGGGTATCAGGTCCTTGATGGTGAATGCATATCTTGCTACTGTCCTCATTATGAAAGTTTTCCTGAATGATACTTTAAATCCTATATTGCTGTTATTTAAGAAAAGGCCTCTGTAAGATCAAGTGAGAAGCTCCAGGGCTTTTAAAACTGGGATAGTTTTGATTTCTAGTCTTACTTGTCCGTGACTTCTGAGAGGAGGTATACAATGTGTGTTGGTATGGTGTTTGACTTGGATGAAACCAAATTATTAGATTTATACAATTCTGCTGCTGCGCTGTTTGGTTTTGTAAGTAGTGGGAAGAAACCAGTAATATATTGGGAATGCAGGATGGCTTGTTAAACACAGTAACCCAGCTTCAGTGTAACAGCCTGCATTATCAGTTTGTACACTTACCTGTAATGTCTTTTAATCTTATCTCACCCCCACTCTTAAGTTGCCAGTTCCCCTCATCTATCACTTTGCTCTCTGTGCAGGTGGAATGTTTTGATGGACTACTGTTACACCACACCGTCTGGTAATCCTAGCGATGATCTTCGATATGATCTTTTTTTCAGGTAGGGTCTGTGCAAACCCATTGTTTTGTGGGTCCTTCCTTTAAAAAACAGTTAAAAATCGCTCCAACAGTGGTGTTCTAAACTGCCTGGAAAGTCTAAGCAATATTAGCAGGAAGGATCAAGGGCTAGGCTTATAGATAACGTGTCAGGACTTATCTTGTTTGTGAATATAAACATAGAAGCAAGTGCAAAGTCGTAAGAACTATGAAGGCAGAGAAGCATATATCCAAAATGGCTCTCCTGGAGGCACCAGAAACACCCAAACTGAATGGCTAAACTGGCCTTTATTTTACCAAAGGTACCCTTGTGGTGAATGACAGTGATATAAAACAGCATAGACTCCAGTTTGGGAAAGTAGTTAAGTAGATTATTAAAGATAAATAGGTGTTCCTGCTTCTACTCCCAGTAATAACATTTATTTGAATTAGAACTTTATAAAACATCTTGGCAGTATCTGGGATTAAATCTTATCGATGACGGTTGCTGGAGGGATACTGTCTTCATTTGGAGTTGCCCGTCTGTAGTGGTTAGCATACCTGATTACTTTTTGCTTTAGGTCTCAAGTTTCTTTGGGCCCTGGAATTAAATGGTACCTTGGTTATAGCTGTGAAGTTGCAAAACAAAACGTAATGTTTTTGTAGGAATGCATTTCAGCACAGGACTGTGCAGCCTAATATGCAGATTTTGGCTGCCCATGTTGCACGTTAGGGCACTGTGTTCTTTTCCAAGGAGCTAAAGCAGTGATCTTGCTGCTCAAGTTACCTTATTCTCAGCTAAGAGCGTCAAAATGCTAATCATGCAGCTGCTCATCCTGGTTTTAATCTTCTCTCCAAAAAACAGCTGTGACAAGGACCCGCAGACGACTATAATTGAAAATGGCAAGAGCCAAATGGGCCGGTTTTCCTTTGAGGTGTTTCGCTTTGTGAAGCACAAGAACCAGAAGATGTCTACGGTCTTCCTTCACTGCGTGACAAAGCTGTGCAGAGCAGATGACTGTCCTTTTCTTGTGCCAGTAAGTTTCAGTGGACAGAAGTTGCTGTTAATTATCTGGATATAAAATATGCACACTGGAGTTATTCTCTGTACAAGTGCTATAGAAGTTTGGATGGCACAGAATGAAGGTCACTTGTAGAGTCTCAAGTACAAATGTTTTTTGTGTCTGAAGGAATGTAAAACAACTGATAAAGAATAGGGCAATGAATGTTGTCACCCAGAGACAGAATAATACCAGACCTGGAAAACACAAGTTGTTGAACACATGAGGAATGACCTCTTTGCATTCTGGTCCTTAATTCATTTTTAAAAGTAACTACTCTGAGACAGCTTCAGAGCTGATATTCTTAGTATAGCATCTAAGAAACAAGGTGTCCATAAGCACAGTGGATAAATAGAAATATCCTTAGATTAGAATTTATGGAAAACTTAAAGCTATAGCAAGTGCCATTATACTGACAAGGGAAATTTGAAAGAGTTTCTGATAGTGGGGGAAAAAAAAATTATTGTATCCCATATAGTTTGTTACCCACCTCCGTTGTAGTTTGTAAACTGTTGTTTTGTTGAAGTTCATGAAGTTGTGTCAATTAAAAAAATATTTATTTTTAGGAGTGTCAGGAACAACAAATATATTTTGGAAATCGAAACATTTAAATAAACATATAAAACCAGTATATTCTGTGATGTCTTCAGAATGCAGTATCATTTCCTATTGAATGACTTTCCGTTTAGAATTTTAAAATGCTCTCAGTTCAGTATGCTTCTGACATTTTGTACATTATTATATACTTTTATATTACACTTTTAAATAATTAATTGTTTCTATTGAATTTATGTTCTGAGTGCTTCGAAGTTCTTTCACAAGAAGTTGAAATTAAATAAATGCACTTGGTTGAAGCATACTTGAGTACCCAAGATTAAGACAGATAATAAGTGAGAGAAGTTAAAGGTGGATTCCAGATGACAGAGTGCTGGGGATTGTTTTAGTGTGGGTCATTGCTATTTAGAATTCCATGGAAAATGTGTAAACTTTAACTTGAGAAGCTTGTGAGAATAGGGATTGTAGCATGTTGTCTATCCCTAGTCAAGCAAAACACATTCGTTGGGGAAAATTGTCTGTAAACAAAGCTTTGAGAAATTAACTATTGAAAATTTAATATACTAGAAGATGGATCTTGTACACAACAACAATGTAGTTCTGTAAACGAAGCGAGGCAAAATACAACGGGAAACCAGGCATTTATAAGATACACTTCTAGGGAATACTGCAGCTGTTTTTATTGCAGAGTAATTTAATGCATACTAAGAAATAAAATCAAAGTTGTAGTATTACTTATAAGAGAGTTTACATTAGAGCAGGAAGCACAGAAGGGAAATAATTCCATTTCACTCTGAAACTGTGATTGTTTTGATTAACCACTCAGATTTGCAGTAACAGAGAAAGAAGAGACGTTGGTGGGAGGACAACTTGGAGCCCTCAGAGCACCTCTGGCAATGCTGTAATCTCTGCTGGCCCCATCATTACAAGGAGTGGTAGGAATGTGCAAACTTTTTCTATGGACTGCAGGAATTTCAGAAATCTGGGGAAATGTTTTGCAGTTTAATATGAATTTGCAGACTTAGAGAAAGGGTGGATTCTCCATGAGTTTGCTGCGTATTTTTCCCCCTATTGTTGGAGTCTTTGGTAGAAATTTTGAGCTAACGTTTCTGTTTGGCTCTCATATAACTCCTCCCTAACCCACTAAAATCACTGTGAGGTACTGTTATGCATATAAGGCCATTATAAAAGCCCAAACTCAGTGGGTTGACTTCTCTTTTTTTGTCAGATTTCACTGAAGATAATGGAATTTAAGGTACTGTGTTCAGTGCTGCAATTTAATTTGGACAGCTAATGAATATTCACTGTCACTTTCTATTCACCATTTCTTCCAGCTTCACATGTGGGTTTTTATCTAAGTATTGCATAAAGTTAATACATGTTATACTTAGCCTTCAGCTATGACAAAGAAATATAACAAACACATTGTAAATTCTAAACAGAGTGGCCCAAAATCTACTCCTTTAAATCCAGGGTGAAATTTTGTGATTTCAATTTTTATTGCCAAAGTTTCAAAACGAAAAAAAAAAAAAAAAGGCAGCTCTAAATGCAATCTGCAGCCTCTGAAAAGGATTTATGTGACTGCTGTTGACAAAACAATAAAAATAAAATATTTGCGAAAGTTTATGAGATTCTGTTTACAGATATTTATAAGTAGATACAGTTAAACAGTCTTAGATTTAGGGAGCTGAAAGCAGGACTGAATTTCGTCTAGCAAAAATAATTGAAACACTGGAGAATAGAATCCGTCTTTATGTGCAAAGTGGTTGTGCTCACACATACAGAGAACCACTGACCCTCCAGAATAGGGAATTACCTAGCAAGAGACCATTTTTAGAACAAATACCCTCTGTTATAAGCAACATTTCTGCAATGAAAATGAGTATTTTTTCCTGCATTATACATAGTCCCAGTTGAGTTGCTGCTATCAGATTAGTCAAGAAAAAGTGAAAAGAACTCACTTCAAAGTTGCATACATGAGTACTTGTGCGAAATGAATGACAGATTTGCTCAAACATGCATGCTAGAGAAACACTGCCTTAGGCAAAGAATGGAAACTAGATGAAGCTTGTAATATGAGCAACCCCTATTAGGTAATATAGCTCATGATTCAAATGCTGTGAATGATGTTTTTACAATAATAAAAAAAAAAGATACTCATCAATTACCTTTAAATACTGCATAACTTTAAGCAAATAAAGATCTGCCCATAGATGTTTAATGACCCCAAAGAAAGGATAAAAGTTTTTATAATTTCTTGACAACTGTTGATTGTTGTTTGTTTGGGGTTTTTTTAAATCAAAACATGAATAAGGCTGGAAAAGGAAAATAATAAATTTTTAGGTGTCTTCTACTTGAGATATGTGGGCAAAGCTTTTTATATTAGACCTATTTCTGCATCTCCATAGTATGCTTTTGGAGCATCCCACTCCTGCTGACAGAAGGATGGTTTGATGGGAAGTACCCTAGAAAAAATGGGATTCAGTTCTGAACTCTGCCACAAATTTCCTGAGTGGCGTTGGGCAAGTGTCTTAATCCGATTTGCACTTCACTTTTCCTTCTGGAGCAGAAAGAGGGAATTAGCATTTCCTTCCACTGTCCTTTCCCGTTGTGAAAATAAGCCCATTAAGAATGTGAGGTTCATGAACACTATATTGAAGGAAAGGGGGAAGGAAGATCGTGAGGGAACTTGAACAGAACTATCTGGTTTTGGTTGAGGAGTGCTGGCGTACAGTGGCTTATTCTGGTGTGGTGCTGCATGGAGGTGCTTATACTATTTTCAAGGCCAACTCGGGTCCAGCTTTAATATAGATACATTTTGTACAGAGTGCATAAAACCTGCTGCACCTAACTTACCATAGTATGTATGCCAGTATTAGGTCTGCAGTTGCACGGATGTGCAACCCCTCACTTCCCTCATTTAGGTTGGAGTCTAGGTTCTGTCCTGGAGCTGATCCTGTGCACATCAGTGTCTGCAGATGCACCTCAAGTTAGCCAGGTCTCCCCATTAGTCTAGTCACCAATTGCTCTGGTAACAGAGTTGTTTATGCAGTTAGCTTGATAGGAGCTGAGTAGTGCTACTGCAAATGAGTAATGGTCCTTCTCCTGTACATTTCTGAACTCTTATTTCTAACATTTTGTTCTATTCAGAGAAACTTTATTCTTGTTCGTTAATCTAAAATAAGTCATTGCAGGAGACATACACAGCAGAGAATATTTTGGTCTCTGTGTATAGAATCAAAGCAGGTGCCTACTTGTGAGGGTGAAATTGCATAGCTTTTGATGGATGTCTCACTTAAACTTAGAAGGCAGCTGCTCAAAACAAATGTATACGTGAGCTGTGCTTACAAGTTGCACAAAAAAGCAAAAATATTGACCAGAAATGTAGTTCTGAGATGGACAATGGTAAGTAAGTAAAGATGGAGACAAAATACAAATGTCTCCCAGAATATAGTGCCACTGTGTAACTCTAAAAAGAAAAATGAACTAGCAGAAAGGGTATTTTTGTAATCATTTATGGTCACTGGTGTATTTTTACTTGAAAAACTCTGGTTATTTTTTTTTTCCTGTGCAGATCTTCTTGTAATATGATTAACAGTGAAGGGACTTACATATAATATCATGCTTGTGGTTGTATTTTTATTGAGGACAGAATAGAACTGGTCACCTTTTCAATTAAGAGGTTCCTGCATTAAGGTGGTGTTTGTTTTGTTGCAGGGTTTTTTTTGCCACAGAATACTAAGTAACTTCATATTGGTGTGCTCACATCAAAAATGTAATTAATATTGTCGTCCTTATTCTACCAGAGATGCTAAAAGCTGCTAGTCAATGATGCAAGTATAGCTGATGTGTTTTAAAAATGAAGTTAGGACTATTGGCTTTTGTGTTGCAAGGAGGGGAGGAGGTAGCTAGAGGTATTTGTAAAATATAATGCATCCTGTTTTTGTTTTGTACAGATGAGACGCCAACCAACAATTCACAGCTTGGTAAGTTAATCAGAATTCCAAGAAACATAAAAGATGGTTTATGAGTGAAACAGAACCGAGGAGATGAACCATTTTGATTGAGATCTATGCACTGAGCTGGAGCATTTTTTCTTTTTGGCTTTTTTTTTTTTTTTTGTCATTTAAATGAGTCAATACTAACATGCTGTAAAGAAAGCAATTGGTGAATCTGGAATGCTCGGTTTAATTTGTGTACCCAGCCCCACCAACATAGCAGCTTCTAATTCCTATGATGGAATTGAAATGAAAGTCTGCTGCTATCACATATGAGGGTGTGGGAACATTGCAACCGCCAGATGCAAAATCAGACTTAAGCAGTAAAATTTGCTTATGCCACGCTAGAGTAGAGCAGCAAAGTGGTTATTATGGTGCAGTCCAGCTCAGTTCACAGCTCAAAGTCGAAACAGCTCTGCTTCAGCTCCTGTTCTCCTGGCAGAGAGAACACACAAAGAGCCTATGAAGGAACTTGGATAGAACTTGTAGTCTGTTAGGGCAATGAAAGAAATAAGCTTCAGGGGAGATCAGGTCTCTAAGTTTTAGGGTGCTTCACTTTTGAGCTTTTGAAGGACTTGTTTCAACCTGTCCATTACTGGAAACGTGGAGCAGCTAATGACTAAGAAAGGATGGTCTAGGTAACAAAGCAGTCCATTGAGCCATTCCACCTCTTACTTGTTCATAACAGGACTGAGCGGCACAAGCAACCTATCCTGTCCTCTGAAGTCTATTACTATTTGTTCCCTTCTTTTCTCAACTTAGACCACATAAAAGCAGCTACCTTTCTTTCCTGGCACGGGAACAAAGTTCTCTCTGTAATGAATTGCTCTCTGGTGTGTTCCTACCCATGGATATCATTAAAATAATTATAATAAAAACCAAATTCTTCATTTGCTGCGCACAGCTTGCTATGTTAATGACTGCTACCTTTCCTTCCCATCCAACAAAAGCAGCAGCCCTCTCTTTCCAAGCCAGAGCAACAGCCTTTCCTGTGCCTCTTGCTGTCCCAATGGAGAGTGTAGAGGGAGAGTGAGGTGGGATTTCTACTGTAGTGGAGAGAAGACAGGTAAGGTCAGAAGGCAGCACAGTGTTGAGAAGGGGAAGGCAATCCAATCAACAGAGTTGACTTTTTTCAGCCTTGGTGAGGAGGGAGGGATTGATGATGTTGATGGCAGGGGGCTGCTGCTGCGAGGAGCAGTCTGGTTTCCCACACAGAAGCTGTATTGTCATTTCACCTCACTCTCCAGCCTTGATAGTGGCAAACGCAGCTCTTAGGCAAACACACATTGGTGTTTTGGGTAGCACCTACCGCTCAAATGTGGGTTGTTTTACCTCCTGCTGGAAAAAATGGTACAGGCTGGATGTGTGTGTTCCAGTATCCAGGAACTGGTCCATGAACAGCCTGTTGAGCTACACTAAATAGTAAATATGTTACCTCTTCTACCTGAGAATTGATAAACATGATAAGAAGCCTTCTGTGAAGGTGTAGAGGCAAATTGAGAGTAGCTCAGGTACCTGATGCCAGATATGCCTGCTAAGGATTTATATACACTTGAATTTAGGTGTGGATAAAGGTATCAAGGAAGGAATCCTTTCATTAACTTGATTAGGCCAAAAATCCTTATACCTCTGCCTTGATAGTTCTTGGACAACGGCAGTCTTGCCTTAAATAGCACAGGCCAAGGGTGGTCACTAGCATATGAGGGATTATGCCTTAGAAGTATCCTTACTGTCTTTATCCCCCAGCATGATGGATATTGAAAGATCTAGTAACTGTTTTCAATGTATACTTAGATAAGCTTTATCCAAGCAGACAGGTGATCGTTCTGAAGTACAGTTTTAGTCCTTTCATTGTAATTATTCTCTATATAGGGTGTCGTAACGAAAAGACAGAAGTGTTTGGCACTACTGAGTGATTGTAACCAGATCTTACCTGTGCATTTTTGTTCTGCTTGCAGCTCATCCAAATGGACCTCCTTTCCAGCTGAACTCAGTCACCAGTGCACTCATTTCAGGCATTATCATCCTAGGAATCACAAGCATTTTCTCTTTTGTATGTTCTTTAACTCTTCTATACAGAAAGTGGCCCAACAGTCCAGCCTTGAATGGTATCCGAAACCCAGTTTTCAACTGAAAGTGATGATTTACTTGCACTTTTTATTTGGGGTTGCCTTCCTTTTCCATGAAACCTGATTCCATTAAAGAATAATATTAAGGCAACACTCCAGCTGTATCCAGCTTTTATTCCAGGTATTCTATATTTGTAGGTTTGTTAGATGTTGTTGTGTAGGTAAGCAGCAGTTGTATTGGTAACAATCCTAGAAAATTATGAGAATGTCAGTTGTGTTTGTGATCAGACGGTATGACATCATGCCCATGGGTTGTTCATGTCTCCAGCTTCCCAGTAAGGTCTCAAAGCTGAAGATGCCAAAGGTGAGAACCTTTCCAAGGTATGCCATTCTTATACAAAACTTGAGACATTCAGAATCATTCCTAAGTTCATAAACACCAAGTTGAGGATCGCTTCTATTTTGTGATGGTGTTTTTCACAAATTTGAAAAAACAATGAAGTCTCAGGAGGAACTTGTTTTCATTTATCTTTGCTAAAAATAACCCCAGAGAGACTTAGAATAAGTGACTTTTCCTTATTGTTAATTTGGAGATGTTTTCTTAAATATATCTTCCATTGAATTGTTGTGCTATCATGTGAAGGACAGAATTTGGCTGAGTATCTTTGAGTCAAATAGTTTAGGGCAAACTGCAGTTGATTCCAGGGAACAGTGCTGCAGTTCTTGAGGTGGAAAAAACTTTTTCCAGCAAAATGATTGAGTGAGAATCAGTGAGAGCTTTAAATCTAACTAATGTGCAGCAGAAAGTTAATTCCGCACAGAATTGCTACATCTGCAGCCTTCAGTCAAATTCCAACCCCAGGAACTGCTCCAAGGGGAAAGGTATTCCTTTCCTCCTGACTCCTTGAACGGGCAAGCTGATACAAACAAGTAAGGCCCAAACTTTCCTCGTACAAAAGTAGTTTTGGAGCACCATTTGGCAGTTGGGTAAAACTGTCGTTAATATCCTAATTTACATGGGCCAGTTTTGCCCCATGAGTTTTGCAGTTCTCAGATAAGGCTTTCCTTTCTACATGAAGAGTTGTAAATCAACACTTATTTCTTTGGCAGATTTTCTGCATGGATTAGACTTCTTCACTGCATGGATGAGGG